TCTTTTCTCTCTTTTTCTTCGTCTCTGTGAGTATGTGATGCGTAGTGTCCAGGACACTTTTATTAACTTTGTTTAATATTAATTATATTGTTAACTCTTTTTTATATTATTATACTAGTTATTTGGGTAGTGGGCTTTTTTTTCATTTCTTCCTTCCGGCTTTTTGCTGCTCTCCCCAAGTTTTTGGCAACCCAATTTAGTATGGACAATATATAGATATACCTATATGGGCGTGTTGGACTATATATATATAGGTAATTTTTTTTTTTTTTTTTTCCAGTGTGGGCCTAGGCCCACACTGGTCCCAATATACCTACGCACCTGATCAGAGGGCCATTTTTCACCGAAAAAGCGAGCGTGCAAGTTGCACTCTCGAAACTTGAGGGTATAATCGCCACTTTATCTTATGTTTGAAAGAAAAATTGGTTATTTCAACGACAGGAGGAAAATTGGAGAGAGTCGGGGCTATTTGCACGTGTGTGTGCGTATGTATTCTCAGTTCTCACCGGCGATGAGCCGAAACCTATATATAATAATATTTTCATTGATACTAGACCTTCGAGCAATGAAGTATAGGAATTAATGAAATTCTTCTTATATCTTGCAGTTGTGTTAGATGCATCATCCTTGATCAAGCCAGTCGGAATAGCATCTTCTATTTTAGCACTAATGGAACTAAGTTCCTTCCAGTCTGGTAAATAGTGGGTAAAGAGATGATTTTGGTAAACTGGGAAGTATATAACATCAGGTCTATTCATCATTTTTGAAGCTTTTTCTCGCGGCGGAGGCTCAGCCGGTGTGTGTGTGTGTGTGTGTGTGTGTGTGTGTGTTTTGTGTGTTGATGTGTGTATGAGAGTGTGAGTGTATGAGTGTATGTGTGTGCGTGTGTCGTATGTGTTTATGGCGTGTGATAGGTGTGTGGGTGTGATGATGTGGCATGAGACCCACTGGTGATTGAGTTGGTTGGGTAGTAATGGTAATGTCCAAACTCATATATATATATATATAGATAT